AACAACAACAACAACAGCACTAGCCGTATGTTAGATGCTAAAAATATTTCTTCAAGAAGTTATGCCGTGCGTCAGGCTGGCTCCAAAATCACTTTAATACCATCAAGACACCAGACACCAAATCAGTACATTATTCGAAAACAGAAATGTTATTTCTCTTCAGTCTAAGAATATTCGCAAAAATATTTTCAGCATAAAATCGGCAGAAAAAAATAAGCATATTCAGCCTCGGCCGGAACAACAATATTCTTGTAAAAAAAAAAGAGTGTGTTCGTTTATTTGTGTCACAATATTTTCAGAGTATTCCAGCGAAGAGCGTTAGATAATTAACAGAGGACCTAGAAGAAATTCGTTTGAGTTAACTGATCTGCCCTCAGTGATATCAGATATCTACCCTGGTGACAACGTAAACGGCATATTACATCTTCTTTGTAATTTCAAGTAAGAAAATATTTAAAAAGGCAATTCATTTGAATGCTAGCTATTGAAAACAACAGCTACCCAAGCTAATCACGAGCTTGTTACTAACCACACGTGAAGTTTATAAAGTTTGTCAGGTCAACTTACTAGCCTGAGGCAAACTTTGATCTTCTTTATTGCGGCTGTAAGATGGCATATGAGTTCAGGTACAGCAACAAATCATCACACGAATGAATTCCACACCTTGTCAATAGACAACGCCATTTTGAATACAATAGCTTTCATCTTATTTAGGGCTGAATTTTAGAAAGCTGCAATCATCGCAACCACACATGTTATGAAATGGCAAAAAGTGCAAAATAAAGTGCAGCTTTCTCTTAGATTAAAGTTGACGTTACTTGTGCTTACTACAAAGTTACTTTTAGAATTCGGTAAGTCAAATTTGATCGAATCTTAAGTTGGAGAAATTGATATCCATTTATATGATGCTCGGAAAATTCTTGACTTTGCATAACAACCAAACTGTTGTTAACCAAGAAAGCGTAGCGGAGAACGAAATAATGGAGATTTTAAATAACTACGTCTGCGACGCCGAGGAAACAGTCTGTTAATAAAATGAATTGATATCTGTTTTACCTTCGAATATAGTGAAGCTAATTAGTTTGTTTCGCTTTTCTAAAACTCGAAACTGAATGCGAAATATAGCGTAAAGTTCGAAACGTGAATTTTGAAAATTATGCGTCGTGGTCCAGACAACGCAGAATTTGTTCATTTCAAGCCTTTTTTTTTTTGCTGCGGACGGTAAAGAAATGTACCAACAATTATAACGCACGCGCACAACCATTGTATATGGCCATTGGAACTTTTTTTTATGCACATGTTATTAGAGTTTTCCGCTCTCCAAGTTTGCTTTTAATGTCAGTTGTTTAAAGAGATGTGTTGTTTTCAATAACCGAATTAAACCAGTTAAGCGATCTGGATTAAATTTGTATTAAATTTGCCAGCTGATTTATGATTTGAGATAAGTCTCCACCAAACTCTATTAACC